TCCCTCCCTCCCTTCTTCCCTTCCTCCCTCCTTCTCTCCCTCCCTCCCTCCCTTCTTCCCTTCCTCCCTCCTTCTCTCCCTCCCTCCATTCCTCCCTTTCTCCCTTCCTTCCCTTTCATCCCTCCTTCCTTCCTCCTTCCCTCCCTCCCTTCCTCCATCTCTTCCTTCTTCCTCTCTTCCTCCCTTCTGAGCTCCTTCCTCCCTCCCTTCCTCCTTTCGTTCCTTCCCTCTGTCCTTCCTTCCTCCCTCCATCCCTTCTTTCTTCCCCCTTCCTCCTCCCATCCCTCCCTCCCTTCCCCCTCCCTCCCTTCCTCCCTCCCTTCCTCCCTTCCTTCCTTTTTTCTCTCCTTTCTTCCCTTTTTTGCTTCCTTCCTTCCTTTCTTTCCTTCCCTTCTTCCTGCCTTTCTTTCTCTCTCCCTTTCTTTCCTCCTTCCTTTATTCCTTTGCGCTGGTGCTGCGTCCCTCTGGCTCTGCTTTTGGCTCAGGGCTGGTGGCCCACCCCCCACCCCCACCCCCCCCACGGAAACTGCGGCCACGGCCCGGCTGTGTCGGGACGACGGAGGACACCTAGTGGAGGGAACTGGAACAGGTGGGGAGTGCGATTCATTGCAGAGGCTGACAAGCTTTTATAGCAAAGGCCTCCATGAGAAAGGGCGAAGGGTTGCACAATCTTGCTGCCGGGCTTCGTTCCTGGGTGCTCACCAGCTGCTCGCCTGATCTTGTTTTTGGATGACCAGCTGTGACGACAGGCACTTGTTCCAGGCTTTACCACTATTTTTAAGAATTTCGATGTTTATCACCTATTAACCATTAACCAGGGCATATGGGCAAGGGCTGGACAGAAAGGCATGAACTCTAGTATTTCATAGTTAACTTTTGTTTAGTTTTGCACTTTATGCGTTTAAATCTTTTCTAAGCAATTGTGCTTCTTTGCCATTCTTTAGAGGGCCCCCAATTTGTGGCCAAAACTCATGATATTCAGTATACTTAGTTAAATCTGGCCATACATCAAATTCAGGCTCATAGTGTGTTCTCTGTAACCCTTTCACATCATCGTTTACTCTTCTCCAGAGAGGCCTTAACTGTCTCATAAGATCTTTCGTGTTCCTTTTTTGACAGTAAGCACCAAGGAGGCCGAGATCTAGCAAGTCTCTCAGTAAATGCAAGAGAGTAATAGGAAGTTCTTTTTCCTAAGTAGTTTTCCCAACGGTTGCCATCCTTATCATACACACCTGTAAAAGGCTATGGATCTGGGTGAAGTCTTTGGGGTCCTCTAGATAATGGAAGATCCCACCATTTTCCTCTGATAAGCCATTGCCATCTTCCATCCACCAACATTTAGGAATCTTATTTAGCTTTTGGTCTAAATATCCCTCTACATCTTTCTTATCTACAGGATATCTCTATGAGTCTATTGTATATGCTTCAGGATTAAAGGGAAGTCTCCAGTAGCCATACACTCTTTCTGCTCTAGCGCGCCTACAGCTGCTTGTAAATCTCTTACAAACAATTCCTTCTGCTGAAGAGACGACATGAAACCCCCAATATTTTTATATTTACTTATGACTTGTCTACTAGCCTCCACAAGAGGGGCTTTCGGGGTAGCACTGAACGCTGGTGAGTTAGTCATATTCTCAGGAGCCGTCAACACTTCCAAGAAAGAGCCTTGAATAAGGGATCGTTGAGCATGAGTAAGTAGAACGAGCAGCAGGAACAGTAAAAGACTCATGGGCACTCCTATACAGCGAGGAAAAGAGAAACAGGAACAGGAACACATCTTTCCCAGGGGCTCGCCAGCCTTTCCCGAGGTAGGCCTCTTTGAAGCCCCATTCTCAGGTCTGAAAGCAGGCGTGGCAGGCCGCAGCTCCACTTCCAGCTTTCTGTGCTTCCCGGGAGATGAGA